TAATATTCTATTAAGCGCCCCCTATTTCTAAATTTGAGAGCGCCCTGGGCGCTTATTACATTGAATACGGAAGTAAGTGTTATTCCGTTCCCCCTGTGGAAACGCAAGAGGTGGCATGGGGGGGGTGGTCGGTCTGTGTTTGTTTCTGCTAGGTATACTGTTAAGTGGTGAGTTGAGTAATGCGGATATATTTGCTGTAACAGTTTGATTTCCAACGCCCATATTCCTGAATCTGCTTGGAACTAACCCCACTAATTGCTGCTGTGGTAGCCGCTCCAATGCGAAAAGAGTGTGACGAAAACAAATGAAGATTGAGCTGTGGTAAGGAAAAAGCCAGGGCCTTTCATATAATTGACTGAAATCGCCTTCTTCATTGACGTGGCTAATGTGAGGCATCACAAGTGTTGCATAGGGGCCACCTGTGGCACATAGATCAAATAGGGCACATGGACCACTGGGTGTGTGTGTGCAAGCAATACAGTGATAAGTAGTGTCTTTACTGTTATCACCTGCAACACCGGCGCTATCGCTGATGTGAGGACTCATATCTGGGACATGAGGGGCACAGTGGGGCAATAGATCAGGGTCGTGTGTGTTAACACACTGTCCAGGAGTGTTCAATATGTCAGCTTCTGACAGCTTCTATGTGCTGAAGACTTGCCCACCTTTACATCCCTATTTACCACTCTGGGTCTGTAGCAGACATATTTTTGGGGCTCTGTACATTTGTATGGGGGAGGGGGTACATTCTGAAGTGAGTTTTCAACATTGGGGGAGGGGGTACATTCTGAAGTGAATTTTCAACATAAAGCTTGTTAATATTAATGACATTTTTCTTGTGATGTGTTTTCGCTTCTCTTAGTAGTGGCATCATTACATCTTTTCTGTAGGCATTGACCTCCTCTGGGAACTGCTCCATTATGTTGTACCTGGTTTAACTTTCAGCTTCCTGCCAGGTACGTCTGTCTCTGGTGAACACAAACTTAGCAATCATAGATTGGTGTGTAGGGTCGTCCCCAGGGTCAGCTTGTTTTCTTGGGTGTACCCTCTTAAACTTGATATTGGTACTCTCTTTTTTCAGCTCTGTTGAATTTTCTCAGGGTCTTCTCAGATCCCTTCTGATTAAACAAACTCTCTGTTTTGACTGTTAGTGAATCAATCTGCATCTCATGAGCTCTCCTCCAGCATGTACAGTCTTAAGTTGTCCTGTTGCAAACTAGTGAGTGTAAGTTCCTGGGCAGCAACTTTGTCCTTGAGAGCTTTAATGTTCTGTTCAATGGTGACGTCACATTGGCTCTTCACTCATCAAAACTAAAAATAACAAAGTTCACACACGCTTCCAAAGCTGACTGGGGGCAATTGAATTACCCTGGGTCAGTGGTTGTGGACACTGGTTCCCATATACAGATGTAGATCCATTTACAGTGTCCGGCAATGTTGACATAACACTTACACTTTTGAGACTAAAATTACGCTGATCCTCCCCAAATAACGATTTTTGACATTTTTTCATGAATTATTTACATATTCAAAATATCAGCAGAGCTAACTGCATTTACACTGATATTTCTTAGGAACCTGAAACGCCACATTGTCTTTCTGCAATGCAGTAATATTGTCACATGATGAATTTTATGAATGTGTGGAGCTTTGACCACATGTTTTGGCATGAATGCAGTGTTTCCCACGCCATTCTCTGTCAACTCACTTAAATATCAGTGGGTTTGGGGGGCTAGCCCCCACACAACTTTCACGAATTAAATGCTTTCATAAGTGATTTCTGACCTGTAATTAACAAAGTTGTTCTAAATACATGTTTGTTTGAAATGTGGCCCCGATAAACATCACTGATGAGGTTGTCGCATGCCGTTATGGAACTTCTGTTTTGAATACTTTTTCGATGTTGATGTTCTTTTTTTTAGATGTTTGGATTGATATTCAATTTCGAAGTTTATTCATATTTAACCATACAAACTCAAGCTGCTTATTTTGAGCTTTATCGCCCTCTTTTTTAATTAGTGCAGCTTGCGTGTGCAGCGACATTACTAGCATCAATGCATCTGTACCCATGCTGGTACGTATAGGCTTGACAAAAATGTTGAAACGAAACCCAGCATCATGGCATGGCACTCTTTTTCACATGAAATTATGCTTTTTTACCCAACTGTTACTGCAAAGTTTCGATTAGGGTTGGCATATCTGAATAATGCTTATAGATACATATATGTAGATATGACCATTGCTTCTAGTTTGGTTTCTTATTTACTATTATACTAATGTTATACTACACACAAAAATTATGGGAACACCCCTAAATTTCATAGCCATGTATAAAACTTAACGTGGCTTGGTCATTTATGAACTTCAGTAAATGCAACTTTTTGTGTGCACTGAGGGCACTTAAATGACGTGTTGAGTCATGCATTTTTGCAAGTGCTTTATTTTTTGAAGAATTTGGTTAAATTGATTAAATGCTAAAACAGGAAAAAACTTGGATGCAGAAAGACTCCCTCGTCATGTCAGATCAAACACCAAAACACAACGACCTAGTGCACGTGAAAGTCAGAATTCCCATGCAGTTGGTGGCAACTTTTCTTTATAAAGAAGCTTCAGACACTGTGAAGTTACACATTTCCTTAAACATGCCCCAGCGAAGACCGTTAAGCATTCACGACAGGACTAGGGCCATAGTGTGGCTACAAGATGGTGCATCCATAAGGAATATTGCCCGTCGTCTTCAAGTGTCACCGTTTGTCATTCACAGACTGAGGGAACGGTTCCAGACAACAGGGAGAGTGCAGGACAGACCGCGTTCTGGTATTCCCAGAGTAACATCTAGGGCAGATGACCGATACGTTGTGCTGCTAGCCCTTCGGAACCGGTTCTCAACAGCCAGTGCTTTGAGACTGCAACTCCGACAAGCAACACACACCAACGTGAGCGTATCGACCATCAGGAACCGCCTCAGAGCTGCTCATTTAAGGTAACGTCGTCCAGCTGTACGTCCTCATCTTCGTCCTCATCACAGAGCTGCAAGACTTGCCTGGGCCAGGGCACATTTGAGATGGGATGATCAACAATGGTCCAGAGTTCTCTTCACTAACGAGTCCCGTTTCTGTCTTGAGCATAATGATGGAAGGGTAAGGGTTATGAGACGTCCTGGAGAACGTTATGATGATGCCACTGTACGAGAAAGAAACAGGTTTGGCGGTGGCTCTGTGATGGTATGGGGAGGGTTCAGTTTGCATCACCGAACACCTCTCTATCTTGTTCAAGGCAATTTGAATGGAGTGAGGTATTGTGACGAGATTTTGCGCCCTCTTGTCCTACAAAAGTTGAACAACATTGGTCCAGGAGCAATCCTGCAAGATGACAATGCCAGACCACATCGGGCTAGAGTCGTTAGAGACTTCCTGCAACAGAACAATGTGACTGTGATGCAGTGGCCAGCATATTCACCGGGATTGGCTCCAATTGAGCATCTTTGGGATGTTCTGGGACGACGTGTCAGGGACAATCATGGAGTTGCACCAGCTCTTCAGGTTCTGGTTCAGTGGCTCCAAATGGAATGGCAGGCGATTCCACAGGCTACCCTTCGCACCCTTGCAAGATCCATGAGGCGAAGATGCACCGAATGCATCAATCAACGTGGAGGACACACTCGCTATTGACATTGTGATTTCCATTTTTGACCCCCAATTTCTTATTCGACTTGTTCGTGTGTGCTTTTCAATGACAGCTACCTGTAAATGTTTTTGTTTTGAAGCTTGATAATCTGCTAATGCACAATTGTAATGATACGATCACATGTCATTAAATGTTCCTTTTTATAACAGAATATTTTGGTGTTCCCATAATTTTTGTGTGTAGTATATTTACCTAACACTAGTAACAGACATGCAGTAGTGACCAGGGATGATCTGGGTTAGAACAGGTCTTCAGCAACCCATGCTCACCGTAAAAGGCAACTACATTGGTCGTTAGAGGCGACTAACGGGATCGGGTGGTCGACTTGCTTACTTGGTTGATGCACGTCATTGCATCACAATTGCGTGGAGCAATGCTCATGATGTCAATCACTGGATTGTCTGGTCATTATTTACAGACCGCTGTCATATAGCTGGAATATTGCTGAGTGCAGCGTTAAACAACAAACCACCAACCATGTATGTTTGCTTTCTGTTGTCTGATGGCAGGATCAGATGGTAATAAGGTCGAATTTCTTTGGACCCCAGGAGTTTGAGACAGCAGGGTTCCACTGGACTTTCTGAGATATGTCATTGACTGATAACTCTTGCTTCATTATCTCTGATCCTTAGGTGATAGCTTACAAGAGAATGTACAAATTTCTTTTCTGCCTGGCCCAGACAAGTGGTACATGTCCAGTACACGAGGGTACACCTTAAATGTTCACTCAAAGCACAAGACTAAGTCACAACAAATACTAGTCATAAGTTAATAATCAGTATACACTATTGAAATTTAACATTCTTTTCACATTTCACAAAAATGCAAAATAGAGATTTTTAATTTCTTTGTTTGTCTCATCTGATCAACCCTTCCTTTTTAAGAGATGAAATGTCAAATTTTCACTTGAATTGACTTTTTTTTACCACTGTCCCACGGTTTTGAGAGAGAGAAATCTGAGAAACCAAGTTATAAAGAAATGATGTGAAAGAAGGCCTTACTTTTAGTAAACAATTATTAATACTTTAGCTGCTATAACACTGTCTGTTGAACATAAAGTTAATGATAACCTTGATTGATAACAGCAGTATTGGTCACAGGTCATCTGCATATATGATGTTTCTTTTGAAAAAATATCTGATCTGACATAAATATTGCACTTTGTCCTGCAAAGTGGTAGTACCAAAACACTCCCCCCCCCCCTAGTTTCTTAAAAGTACATTTACGACAATATTTGATGGTGAGATATATTCTCAGTACATTTTATCCTTTCTACCTACATTTGTAAATGACATGTCTGTTATTGTTTTCAGGCTCCCTGAATGGTGTGTTGTCCACTGTGCCTGCTCATGAACTGGGTTCAGTGTGCATTAAGGAGGCATTGTCTCGCAGTCAGGTGAAAGCTGAAGATGTTTCCGAGGTTATTCTGGGGCAGGTCCTCACAACAGGTAACTAGTACCAGGGTGTGAAATAGTCTCAAAATATTGCTGGCCAGGTGGGCTAGATAAAAAAGTTACAAGCAAGCTTCAAATGTCACTAGCTTAAATATGAGACTGTTTATATTTTCAGAAATTTGATTCTGCAAAGGTATCAAAAAAGTAAACCCACATTGCAAATAATAATTCACATATATTTTAGTCCTATGACTAGATGATAGTAGTTATCTAGTCCAGTAGTTGGACTTAGGTTCTATAAGGGTGCTGTTCGTTTCCGGAGGTTAACTCAAAAACCGTTAAATAATTTCTTACAAAACTTTGCATGTCTACTAGGCACATACTGAACTGGTGCCTTTTGCTATTTAGGAGTTTTATAAATGTTTATTTTAGAATTTCCATTGCAGCTTTTTTGACATGGCCTAAGAGAAATGTTGGGACAGTTACCTGGTTTGGGACCATAACGTGTTAAAATGGCAGTGGATATAGATGACTTTGTCGACTATACGCTTGTTTCATCTGAATCTGAATTAAAACAATTCTACTATTTTTCATTGCAATAAATTTTTATATTTTACAAATATCTTTCAATATTTTTATGAAGAAAGGAAAGTATAATGGAGTTTTCTTAATGCTTGACTGGTGAATGTATTTTTTTGCAGGAAGAATTATATGGTTGAAAAGAGAGTTCTTTTTGTTGTAGCAAAATAATTTATCCTGACTGGTTATATGAATATCATATGCAGGTTTTGAGTTTAGGTACACTTCAATTTCTAACCCAAATTCCTTTACAAAAACACATTCTACATATGCAGGGTATAAGGTTTCAGATTCAGAGTGACAAAAAGAGCATATATCATCATCAATTAACTTCATTTTTCAATAATTCCTTTTTTCGTATATGGAGCTCTATTTATAAATCTGCACCAGAAATCTGTTAGTTTAACATTACTGATACACATTTTACAGTAAGAACTTTACTTTAAATCCTTTGATTAAGTTCCTTTTCCCATTTATCACACATCAGAGGAAAGTTAGTTGTAGCTATGAGTTTATCATAAAATATTCTGTAGCCTTTTGTTCTTATCAACAAGTCTCTCAAAATGGTATTTATGTATAAACAAGTTGTGATACAAAATCTGCCATTTATTACTTTTTTTCCATGATTTAGGGATATTTAGTAATACTCAGTAATCAAGTAAAGTAGTTTTAATTTGAAATTTGTCTTCCAATTCTTTAGGTGTTAAAAATCAGTTGTTGTTACATAAATCTTTTAAGTTATAAATACCCTTATTAAACCAATGTTTTAAAATGAATTTACTTTTTTAATTGGTGATTGAATCATATTGGCTTTGATAAGATCTCTTCAATACTTTGTTAACTTTGTTTTCTGTAATAATTACCCAAAATATTCAATACATCCCACCAAAAGTAATAATTCTTATCAATATTTGCACCCAAAAGGAATATATGTTTTGTTTGAAAGTTCCTTAATGTTGACAGTCATTTTTTGTAAACTTCTGCTTAAAAATGATAATTTCAATGAATCAATAAATTTGCGGGTATCAATCATTCTCAGACCACCTTCTTCATATTTCCTTACCAAAGTAGATCTTTCTATTTTGTCTGTTATTCCAAATGAATGTATAAAATAGTTTATTCAATTTTCCAATAAAATCATCGGGTGAGTTTGGAAGTGTCTTAATAATGGTGATTTTACCTGTTAATGTTATATGTCTTGTTTTCCAGCTTCCCAATAATCTGTATATATTTGTTCCAAGTCTTTTTCTTGTATTTATTACCCATAGATCATGTAATGTGGGATTAAATATTATTCCCAAGACTTCAAAGTTTCCCTCATGTCAGTCTAGTATTGTGTCCTCACAGAGTTTGATGCTACTTCCTGCCACTTAACCTATCCATATAGCTTTAGTTTTGTAATATTTACTTTAAGGCCAGACATTCTATAAAATATGTTCAAAGTGTCAATTGCAGCTCTAAGATACTCTTCAGGTCCATCTAAAAATAACTGTATCATCTGGATAATGACCTAATTTATACTCCATATCATTTATTGTTATTCCTTGTATGCCTTTATTATTCCGAATCATTATTCCTAGTTTCTCAGCTACCAGCAAAAATAGGCAGGGTGAAAGTAGGTCACCTTGTCTGCATCCTCTTTGGTTCTGACAAAAGTGGAGAAATGTCAGTTTTGTATGACACAAGATAATACATTCTTAGTTAAGATATCATTTAATTATATTTGGTCCAAAACCAAACATTTTCATAACCAGTTCAATAGATGTTTTGGAAACTGTGTCAAAATCAGTAAGTCCTGCCCTATTTTGCTCTTTCAGCTCATACATGATGTCATAATATGGTTCTAACAATATCCCTTATACATTGACCAGGTATAAAGCCTGTTTGGTCACTATGAATTAATGTATCCAGCGTTTTCTTAATTCTGTTTGCTATAAAAGAGCTCAAAATTTTGAATATAGTAAAATTGAAATTGGTCGCCAGTATTTCACAAGTTTTCTGTCTTTGTTTTGTTTCGGAATGCATGTAATTATTCTTCTATTCATAGTTAAGGTAATTTGATTATTTCAGAAAGTTCATTTATATACCTAAAAACCCATACACCTAAGTCATTCCAAAAGAATTATAAAAAATCAGCTGGGAACCCATCTAGGAAAGGGCTTTTGTTATTCTTGAATGAATTAACAACTTTTGCGAGTTCAAACATTTCAATAGGTTTTTAATCCTAGCATTGCACGGTAATTGCACGCTCTCAGCCATCATGGAAGGATGTTTCTGGCGATCTTTGCTTCCCACTACCTCCGCCAATGTTCAAAGTCTTCATCACTTTGGTCTTATTGTCTTGGCCCAACAGCTCACAGCAGCCAGACAGTGCAGATGAGGAAACCCAGCATGCTACAGTCCAATGTCTGGTATCCTGTATATACTGCAAGAAATTCTTGAAGTTATTCTCTTTGTTGCTTATGTTTCATCGGGTTTCCCAGACAAGTTCCCAGAGGGAGGGTATATATACTTGTCTGTTGGGACTTCGGTCTACGTCATAGAAGCCACCATCTGGTGCGGCCATTGCCTTAAATGGTGTCCCAATCCTCTACCTGCTCACCACTGTGTTGTGCATATGATGTCTCAGTAGTCGATTGAAGACCCATATGGATACCGTCGATCGTTTCCTCCTTGATAGTTTTGACGAGGCGAAAAAGGAGATGCCAAGCTGGTCCGCCTTACGTCCTGGGGTTTATATGTGTGAGGTCTGTCTTGTAGAAGCTACTGGCTGGGGAAGTGTTGTTTGTAACAGAACACCTCTGAGGGTGAGGTTAAAGTCATGACTGAACAGGTTTCACCTAACTCATGGTTATGCAATCCTTCTTTGGATCGGCGTCCTGTGTGAAACTATGGAAGATATGATTACCCGATGTTATGCTGTATCCCTCCTAGTTGCACAAAGAGGGTTTTTGATGCAACCCTCACATGAGTTTCCTTGTCACTAATCCTTGTCCTTTGATTTAATCATGGTTACAGGCTAGAGTGTCTGTGCCCCACCACCCAACCGCAGAATAAATGCATTGTGTGAGATAGGATACCGGTAAGTTTAATAATTTGTAAATTTTCAAATAAGTTGTAAATTTATATTCTTATCCTATCTCACACACTAAACGCCCACCCAACCATTCCCACATCACAGTTACACCAGCCTTTACGTATTGGAGAAAACATGCTCACAAGGTTTTGGTAGACAGAGCATGCCCTGGGGAGAGGGAAAAACCAAGGGGGCGAAGCCCCCACAGTTTTTCCCGACCCCCAGGGCATGCTCTGTCTGCCAAAACCGAGGGAAAGTGTTTTTCCTTGCTTATAAACCAACAAAAAGAAACTTAAAACAACATTTATCAACATTTTTATTTTTCGAACATACTTTCCATGAACCTTAGGAAACACGCGTAAAATATCTGTTGCTGGTGTACGGATCTTAAAAAGGACATTTTAAAAACCAGTGAGGCTTATCAACACCTCTGTAGCCTCGTGGTACACTCACTGGGCTACAGATATGAAGGTTGCGAGTTCGATCCTCGGGTATATGAAGAAAACATTTGTCATTTGATTTTACATTTCATTACATGTTACAATCTGAACGAAAGTTATATTAATAAAATCCCTGGGATATTACAACGTCCCTGTTTATGAGATTTAACCCGACTGGAAAGTAAAACCTCACAATAGGTTTTAATGCCTATAGAAAGAAGTCTCTTACTTAATAGCGATCCCAATGAATAGGTTTATAATCTCTAGATTGAGAATGAGGATGCTGGATATGTCAGGTGATCAGATCGCAGGGTTCCTCTCACATGGGATTGCAGTGGTGCATGACTCATGATCACAGTGGTGACTTGGTGATGTACGGGATGTGTTGGGGTGAGTTGTGTTTTTGAAGCTGGAAACTTTGTTCTGGGATGTTTTCTCACCATTATTGAAGAAATGCATAGTTTGAGATAGGATAAGTAGGATTATAAGTAGGATTATTTGAAAATTTACAAGCTTATCTAAGAGATACTTGTGAAGACTGAGTTGGAAAATTGGTCCTGTAAATATTTTTATACCCCCAACAAAATGTCGGGGTATATAGTTATACCAAGGTTCCGTCCGTCCGAAAACTTTGTCCTCGCGATTTCTCTTAAACTATTCAGGGGATTCATCTCAAACTTAGTACATATAATCTGTGTCATATGGAGGGGTGCAGTCAAAAGAAAAAAAATGTTTTTATTAATTTTCCATTTTTTTATGAATTTTTCAAACCGTAACGTCCGTCTGAAAACTTTGTTCGCATGATTTCTCTTAAAGTATTCAGTGGATTCATCTCAAACTTAGTACATATAATCTGTGTCATATGGAGGGATTCAGTCAAAAGAAAAAAATTGTTTTTATTAATTGTCCATTTTTTAAGGAATTTTTCAAACCCTAACCCTATCCTAGCTATTTTATTTGTAACTACTGACACACTAGGCGGGTCGGGGGTATTAGGGAGCCACGCTCACTTTTGCACTTGTTCTTTAAAGAGTTAAGGACCTTGATCCATGTTATTTTACTTAGTGCATAGTGTGTACAATGGCGACAGGTTTTCTCAGCAACTGCGGAAGTTGCATGCATGAAAATTTGCATGCTTTTCTGAGAGATACTTGTGAAGACTGAGTTCGAAAATTGGTCCCGTAAATAGTTTTTTTTAAAGAGTTACCACCCTTGATCCATTTAATTTTACTTGGTGTATAGTGTCTGCATTGGGGACAAGTTTTCTCAGAAACTACCTAAGTTAACTTATCTAAGTGATACTCAAGACTGAGTTATCTTTTCCAGAGAAGGGGCCTTTTGTGTGTATTAATTTCACTTTTATTCATTTTTTTCTGATAACATAAAGCGGCCCAAGTGCCTATCTCTTCTTAAGGCTTGATGGGACTCTTTTTATTGTTTTTGTTCACTACTATATGAACAAACAAAATATTAATGTGCCCCATGGTGGGGGATAGTGATAAAGCTGTTTTCTTTTCAACCATTCTGACAAACAACACCAATAAGATTCAGTGTCTGAAATTCAGCAGAGTAAACTGAGAGCCTTAAGGGCCAGCACATTTCAAAAACTGTAGGCCCCGTGGAAAAACTGTAGGCCAAAACATTTTAGCTGAAGCAGGTAGACATTCTCAGTCAGCCAGAAGCATTTACTGCTATCACACCACGTTCCCAGAGACTCCGTTGTGACAGATGAAGCCTTCAGTTATCAAGGAATTATCTGCTTGTAATACATCTTTGCTACTACATGTCATACACCATTTGAAAAGTCTAATCCTACTGTTTATAAATATGAAAGTTATGTTTATCACATCCAGGATAGAAAAGGTCGTCAGCAACCAATGCTTGCCGTAAAAGGCGACTGTGCTTGTCGTCAGATCCGACTAATGAAATTGGGTGGTCAGGCTCGCTGACTTGGTTGATGCATGTCATTGTATCCCACTTGCATAGATCCATGCTCATGATGTCAGTCACTGGATTATCTGGTCCAGACTCGATTATTTACAGACTGCCGTCATATAGCTGGAATATTGCTGAGTGCAGCGTTAAACAACACACAAACAAACAAAACAATGAAATAAGTTTATAGTCTTCATACAGCTGATATATATTACTAGAGGACTTTGTTTTACATATATTTTGCTGAGAAGGAAGGTCAGGGTCACAGCTTATATGTTCACTGTCACATGAGACTTTATGATAGGCTATACACTTGGCACACATTACATCTTGGGTGCAGAGACTCACAATTGATAACACTTTGGTTGACGGCTGTTGGAGGTAAAGGCCTCATCAGTGTGTGAATAATGTATTATTTTGGATGTAAATTCATATCAAGTTTACCCTGACAGACAACATTGTTTCCTTTATCTTGAAGGTCAGGGACAGAATCCTGCACGTCAAGCTAGTATAAAGGCCGGCATCCCTGTGTCAGTGCCAGCTTGTGTTGTCAACATGTTGTGCGGGTCAGGCCTTCGAGCTGTAGTACTTGCATCCCAGGCAATTAAGACAGGCGATGCCACAGTGGTGGTGGCGGGAGGACAGGAGAGTATGAGCAAGGTGGGTGGTCATGATAGCACAGACCAACTAACAGGACAGGAGTGTATGAGCAAGGTCATAGGTCACAACAGCACAGACTTCCCAACTAACAGGACAGGAGTGTATGAGCAAGGTGGGTGGTCATGATAGCACAGACTTCCCAACTAACAGGACAGGAGTGTATGAGCAAGGTGGGTGGTCATGATAGCACAGACTTCCCAACTAACAGGACAGGAGTGTATGAGCAAGGTCGTAGGTCACAACAGCACAGACTTCCCAACTAACAGGACAGGAGTGTATGAGCAAGGTCGGTGGTCACAACAGCACAGACTTCCCAACTAACAGGACAGGAGTGTATGAGCAAGGTGGGTGGTCATGACAGCAAGATCTTCCCAACTAACAGGACAGGAGTGTATGAGCAAGGTGGGTGGTCATGACAGCAAGATCTTCCCAACTAACAGGACAGGAGAGTTTGGGCATGGGACTTCGTTTTTGTATGATATACGACCACCCTTACGGGGCCTCACTCTCCACGGCACGTCACGCCAGGGGGAGCAACTCTCACCCAAATCACTTTCCATATGTCTAATGCTGACAGAATGTGGGGAGGTGGGTGATTTCATCAGAGAATTCATAACCTCTACAGGTTTGTAAAATTCTCTTTCAGATTAAATCCTCTTTTGGGCACTTATTGCATCAAGATAGACTCCTAAAGATAATATAGGAAGTGGCATCCGTCAGCAACAAGCGTAAATAAATACATCGTATTTTGATTATTTCAATGAATAAAAAAGAGTTCAATAAATGGAACCAACCTTATTGTGAGGCACCACCGTCGAAAGGCGGGGGCTAGAGACAGGGCGTGGTCGACCATATACAATGAAAGAGCCATTATTTGTGGCTTATCATATTCGGGAACTCGTAACACACACACACACACACACACACTTTTTGGAACAAGTGATATAGGGGCGTAGATCATGAGAGACTATAACCCGTGCTGAGCTAGGCCAGAGGGTCCCCGTGGATCGAAGGAGTGCGTGTGCAAATACGAGTATTATCGAGTAGTAAAGACTGATATTTTATCGACTGCAGAAGATAAAAACCGGACCATTACTGAGCAGTATAACCGGAGGACAGTCTAAAACTCGAAGGCTCAATCTGCTAGAAATGTAGAACTTTGCCCAGTTCGGAGAACTGACTGACCAAACCGAGCACGCTCGCTTGAGTGTTTGTCGAGTTGGTAATGTTTAATGAACGTGCTCGGCTGGCTCCAAAAAGCCGCGGAGCAGATCTCCTCAATGGGCAGAGCTGCGGCGTACGCTTGTGACGTAGCCACTGCTCTAACTGAATGAGCCTTCAACCTGGTAGGAGGGTCCCTGCCTTGAAGCGTGTACGCAGTACAAATAGTTGACACTATCCACCTCGAGATAGTTTGTTTGCTCGCAGATGAGCCAGCCTTCCTACCGCCATAACAGCAAAATAGTTGCTTATCCCTACGGATACCCTTAGTTCTGCTGATATAGAACTTGAGGGTCCTGCGGACATCCAAGACAAAAGCAATGTCAGATTGAGAATAGGCCTGAACCCTCCGTCTTTTTTGGTGACTAGGAAATATGTCGAGTAGAAGCCCTCGCTTTCCTGTCCCACGGGAACCGGTTCGATCGCAGCTTTCATAAGAAGTGCATCGACCTCGGCACGAATTCCGCCTTCTCTCAGGTAGCAGGCACCGGAGTGTGCTTTATCCCGGAGAAGGGGGGCGGATGATGTTTCCACTGAGGCAAATGGCCATCCCTTAGAGTGGACAGGGTCCAGGGATTGGATGTAACTGTCTTCCATTCCTTCAGGAATAGAGCCAGTCGGCCGCCTACAGGGACATCCAGCTTGAGGCAGTGGACCCCGGCTTGAGGCAGTTCGTGAACTTGCGACTGTGGGTCCACCCGGGGCTCTTCGGGCACTAATGGGTTCCCGGCCCCGCGAAAAGGCTGCTGGCCTCGACCAGCTGCCTTGCCCCGGCCCCTGCCTCTCTTGCTCTTCCCTGCGCCCTTACCTGAAGGAAGCGGCTGCTTCCAAGCAGGTGTGGACTTCTGACCCGGCGCGTCAGCATAGGAGGAGTCAAGTGGAGAGGTCCGCTTACGTGGTTAAACGCTGGGTACCTCCAACAAGGTCCTAGAGTCCTTGATGGAAGCATACAATTGAGCGGCCTCTCGGACCACCTGCTAAGGCCCAAGGGAAGAGGGTGGCACCTATCTTATATGGCAAAGCAAGGAGGTCTTGGCGTGTGGAAGTCGAGTGTTTAGATACCGACATCCACAGCCTGCGCATCCCTATAACAGCGCACATCATCTGCGAGGCACAGCTACGAATAGCGTCCCGCGCAAGATGACTGTGAACATCCGTAAGTTGAACAGCCAACTCCGAAGAGTCAGCAGGCCCCTCCCCCGCTAACGCCCTCTGTACAGCCGACAGATACGTGGAGTGTACGGACACACGGAGCTGTTGGCATGCATTACGATATTGCTCCTCGAAAGCATATGTAAGCAGCCTTCAACTCCGCACCGCACACGTGAAAGGGGGGCAACCGCCGGCCCTGCTTGACCTTAGTCAAGTTGGGGGTCGAAGACCCCCCCCCAGGGTAACGGAAGTCCAAACGCATTCATCCACCACAGGTACCTCAAAGTCACCATCCTCTGCAAGCGGGTACCGCTTAATAGGTTCGGGCAGGTCAAACTTCCTGTGGGCACCAGACAATAGAGGGTTGATGACTTCATGCACCAGGGAGGATAGAACACGGAGCCGCACCTGGGGCTCCTTGCTAGGAGCAAAAGCGTCCACCAGAAGGCGGAACTCAGTCAGATCCGACTCTGGCATTGGCGCAGCCACCTGAGGCACTACCTGGACAATCCTGTCCCGCACTTGCCTCAACGAGGAAGTGAAGGAAAACGTCCCCAAGGTCTCCAAGTCCTCTCCCCCCTCCTCCATCCATTCCTCCTCTCTCGATTCCAAGCCAAAGTGAATCGACTCTTCCCCGAGAGATGAAGCAGACGAAGTCGGAAGGGGACGCCCGAAGGCCTGGGCCCTTGCATCCCCGTGCTGCACCCGGCCTGAAGCCAAGTCCCGGTCCCGAGGTGCCGGGGGTTCAAGGGAACCCACCTGGCTCTGGGCTAGGTATCCACTGGAGGAAGCCTCGGCCTCGGAAGAGGCTTCTGGCTCCGCTAGGGAAAACTGTCCATCGGTAGCCGAAGCCCGGTCTCGGATCGTCCCCGAGACCAAGTGGCCTACCTCGGCCGACGCCGAGCCTATCACGAGGTCTCGAAGCCGCGTCCGGCGCCGACAACGGGGAAGGCTCAGCCTGCAGCTCCTGCCGAAGCTGAGACTTCACCTCCTCCATCATCAACGCCATCTGCCATCAGTAAGGCAGAAATGTCTGCCAAAGACGGTGCAGGAGAGGGTGCAGTGCATACTACGGGGACCCTCGAGCCTTCTCCCCCGGCCCCCGGAGAGGGAGCGGAGGAGACAGTCTCGGCAGCTTTTTTACCCTTTTTACCCTTTTAAGATGGGGGGGGGGGGTGGTCTTAGCAGATCTGATATCCACCCCCGCCTTTAAGAGACCTTTTAAGTGCATTAAGTCTACTTGTCTTTTCTTTTGGGCCCCGGGGGCTAAAAGGCAATGCATATCGGGCATGACCCATCATCATGCCAGTCCTCCGCCAGACATTTCAGGCAGCATTCGTGCCGGTCTTGGGGGGAATGTATGCAGAACAACCCGTACACAGTTTGAAGGTCTGTAAAAAAGACCGTAATTTCTGAGGTGGGTGGGAAGGGTATTAAAGTGTATCAGTGCGATATAAAAATCGGAAAGATACATGCATAAATTGTGAAACTAGAAGCAAAGGCGTAATGTAGAATGCGATTTGTAACGCGATACTAATAGCCAATGTCGTAGTATAATTATAACACCAAAGGGGCGTGTTACGCGCGAAGTTGTAAAAACCCGTAAAAAAGGTAAGTGTAGTGATAAATTAACGCACCACCTTGGATTTATGAAAAGGAAAAAAGGTAGTCCAATGCAGTATGATATAACAAAACCCCAAGCCGTTTCTAATGGCCTTGGTGTTACATGTATCAGACCGTGGAACTACAATATGGACGCCATTACGACCATTTGAATTCAAAGGTACCGTACACGTGGCGTATAATTACAACTCTATAACTTTACAATGCGAGGTATTACGCTTTTGCAATGAAAGAAATGTACCATACATACAGTTTGGTGAGCCGTGGTTCTTGTCGAACGATAGTTTCTTATACTCTTTTTGTCTCTTGAAAAAAACAGCATGTCTGTCTTATACAGATAACATAAGTAAAATGATTTGGGTGAGTGTTGCTCCCCCTGGCGTGACGCGCCGTGGAGGGTGAGGCCCCGTAAGGGTGGTCGTATATCATACAAAGCGAAGTTTTTTGTGTAGTAACATTTTTATTAAGGAAAATGGTTACAACTATGTCATGTAGATTTTCTTGAGCAAGGAAAATGCAAAAGTGCCCCAAGGAGGATTTAATCTGAAAGAGAATTTTCAAACATGTCACAATACCCTATGACGTAATTTGTAGTATTTTGTTGCCAGTCATACCGGCGAAACAATGCCCTGTGACATCAGGGTCATCGAGTGTGCATAAGTTCCTCCCAGTGATCTGTCATCTCTATACACAATGTCGTTGAAAAAGCCCAGCTATGATGAGAGTTTTGAATATTTGTTTACTAAATATAGCCTTATAGCAAGGGCTAGTTTATGAAAGCACTTTTATTTTCAATATATACTTTATTTCGGTTACTTTTCGTAATTCAAGTGGTTAAATGATTATAAATGGGAACTAATATACATATATATTATTTTTAGATTCATTCATTTTTATTATTGTGCACAGGAATGCAGTTTATTAGGTATATTATATTGGAGCTGAACACATCCAAAGGGTAGGTTACCCCGAACTCTATCCTTGGTTCCCCATTACAATTTATCAACGCCAGCTTTACGATCAATAGGGTTGAAGGCTCATTCAGTTAGAGCAGTGGCTACGTCACAAGCGTACGCCGCAGCTCTGCCCATTGAGGAGATCTGCTCCGCGGCTATTTGGAGCCAGCCGAGCACGTTCATCAAACATTACCAACTCGACAAACACTCAAGCGATCGTGCTCGGTTTGGTCAGTCAGGTCTCCGAACTGGGCAAAGTTCTACATCTCTAGCAGATTGAGCCTTCGAGATTTTAGACTGTCCTCCGGTTATACTGCTCAGTAATGGTCCGGTTTTTATCTTCTGTGGTCGATAAAATATCAGTCTTTACTACTCGATAATACTCGTATTTGCACACGCACTCCTTCGATCCACGGGGACCCTCTGGCCTAGCTTAGCACGGGTTATAGTCTCTCGTGATCTACGCCCCTGTATCACTTGTTCCAAAAAGTGTGTGTTTGTGTGTGTTACGAGTTCTCGAATATGATAAGCCACAAATAATGGCTCTTTCATTGTATATGGTCGACCACGCCCTGTCTCTAGCCCCCGCCTTTCGACGGTGGTGCCTCACAATAAGGTTGGTTCCATTTATTGAACTCTTTTTTATTCATTGAAATAATCAAAATACGATGTATTTATTTACGCTTGTTGCTGACGGATGCCACTTCCTATATTATCTTTAGGAGTCTATCTTGATGCAATAAGTGCCCAAAAGAGGATTTAATCTGAAAGAGAATTTTACAAACCTGTAGAGGTTATGAATTCTCTGATGAAATCACCCACCTCCCCACATTCTGTCAGCATTAGACATATGGAAAGTGATTTGGGTGAGAGTTGCTCCCCCTGGCATGACGCGCCGTGGAGAGTGAGGCCCCGTAAGGGTGGTCGTATATCATACAAAAACGAAGTTTTTTTGTGTGGTAACATTTTTATTAAAGAAAATGGTTACAACTTTGTCATGTAGATTTTCTTGAGCAAGGAAAATGCAAAAGTGCCCCAAGGAGGATTTAATCTGAAAGAGAATTTTCAAACATGTCACAATACCCTATGACGTAATTTGTAGTATTTTGTTGCCAGTCATACCGGCGAAACAATGCCCTGTGACATCAGGGTCATCGAGTGTGCATAAGTTCCTCCCAGTGATCTGTCATCTCTATACACAATGTCGTTGAAAAAGCCCAGCTATGATGAGAGTTTTGAATATTTGTTTACTAAATATAGCCTTATAGCAAGGGCTAGTTTATGAAAGCACTTTTATTTTCAATATATACTTTATTTCGGTTACTTTTCGTAATTCAAGTGGCTAAAATGATTATAAATGGGAACTAATATAGATATAGTATTTTTAGATTCATTCATTTTTATTATTGTGCACAGGAATGCAGTTTATTAGGTATATTATATTGGAGCTGAACACATCCAAAGGGTAGGTTACCCCGAACTCTATCCTTGGTTCCCCATCACAATTTATCAACGCCAGCTTTACGATCAATAGGGTTAGGTACTTGTTTAGTAGCTATTATAGATTTTGTAGTGGCTCTTAATATTCTTCACACAAAATGACGAGAAAGCATGGTGAAATGGTTTAGTGACAAATATTTTGGAAAATGTCCTGGAACATTCACACAAACCACTTTCACCCGCTACATTTATTATCCCCCGCCACGAAGTGGAAGGGGGATGTAGGAATTGGTGCCATCCGTCCGTCACATTTAGTTTCTGGAGCAGAACACAAAAACCATGATATTTTGGGATTTAAAAAACAAACAAACTATTTGTGTTTCCATGGCAACGACTTTGACTTAGACTGAAAATGGCCATAGTCCTCGTTTCTGGTGCTTTTGATAGTTCAATATTTCTTCACCAAACTTGGCACATAAATAGGGCTGGAGGTAAACTGATGCCTTTTGATAGTTTCGGATTTTTTTACAAAAGAAATTCGAGTTTCCCTGGCAATGACTTTGACATGGACTGAAAATCACCAAACTAGGCACAGATCTTGAAAACCATACAATATTTCTTCCAAACTAGGCATATAAATAGGTCTAGTGGTAAACTGGTGCCTTTTGATAGTTTTGGAGTTTTTACAAATGTTTCCTTAGCAAGATCATAACTCGGAAACCGTTTACATATTCTACAACAAAATCTACGCAAGGATGTCTGAGAACCGTTACTATACTTACCTAATTGAGATGTATACCACTTGACAAAGGAACTTTGATAAGGTATATAGTGAATTATTGTAAAACACAATTTACAAGACAACCTAAACCTACTTCATGGTGCATGGTGGTAACGTGAACAGTGGCGACCGAACTACCCAGGCTAGATTTGGGGGACTTCCCAGAATCTACCCACCAGGGGATATAATCTGGGAGTTCCCAGAATCTACCCCAGTGTAGATAATAATATATTGTTATCGAATCCAAAAATTCTAAATGTTGTTTTATACATGCAAAGAAAGAAATATTCTTTAAACTAATCAAAAATATCTTACAAATCACATTGCAGTCATTTTAGTCATCATCAATTTGTAAGTTCAAAAGTTGGTGTTAAGAATTGTGTGAAGAAATGTCTTACACTTATGTTATTATCCCCCGCCATGAAGTGGAAGGGGGATATAGGAATGGGTGCCGTCCATCCTTCCGTCTGTCCGTCCGTCCGTCATGTTTTATTTCCGGAGCAGAACTCAAAAACTATGAGAGATATCTTAACCAAACTTGGCACATTGATAGGTCTAGTGGAAAACTGGTGCCTTTTGATAGTTTGGGAGTTTTTTAATAATGTTTCCTTGGCAAGAACATAACTCTGAAACCGTTAACACATTCTACGAAAACATATACGCAGAGTTGTCCGAGAACCATTACCATAATTACCTACTTGAGATGTATACCACTTGACAAAGTAACTTGGACAAGGTTTATGGTGTATTATTGTGAAAACACAACTTACAAGTGCACCTGAACCAGCATACTAAAGCGCAGTGCATGGTGGTAACATGAAATAAAACTGAAACTTGAAGATTTCTTTAATGTGCCTAAAATGACTCTATTCATTCACTCTCCAACTCACTGTCTTGGAGCTACACTGTTGTTTACTGATCATGCCAGTGCTGTAGCATTCCAGACTCCAGTCTACTACTCAGATCATCAGATGATTGGTGCTGTACTTCTCAGTACACCACATGGTGACCCCTGCTCTCAATTATCTCTAAGTAAAGTAAGAACTCCCTTACTTCTCTGATTATTGTTTAAGTAATAACACAACTCATTACAAATACAGTTACGTATTCTATCATAAACTGCAGAAGGCAAAACAACACCAGTTATAACATTTTTAGTGCTGCAATTAGGCCATTTACAAAAAGGTCCAGTGAACATAGTTCACAGGAGGTAATGCCTTGCACACAACCGGACATGTCATATTGGCAGGGGAGATGAGTTCTTCATGGTTGTTCAATACTGATTCATTAGCAAACACACCCTTGTGTCGTGACAAGCCATGCTTATGCCTCCCTCGTTCCTTACTATTATCCACATTATCCTTACAGTGTTCCCTACCACACTTTTCGGTCACAAAAATCATTTATGCATACCTGTGAGTTTGACGTCTGAATTCAGTTCACGCCATATCGGCCCACTCGGTATCTTGTAGATTATGGAATGGGACGAGTGTGCCAAATGGCATCGGGATCACTCGTAAGTGTCCCTAGACTAAAGTCACGAGACACCATGCCTACCTGTAACCTTCGTAAGTGTCCATCACCTTTTCGTCCCTTTTCATTCAGTTCTGTAACAGCGTAGGCATGACTAGGTAAATTTGCACTTAGTTTCACAGTGTGGACATAGCTCAGTCGGTAAGCTGTTGGGCTAACAATCTGAAGGTTACGAGTTCATGTCCGACAGATTCTCGAAAGACTGGTTGCTTATCTTTGAGATGCGTGACCTACGGCAGAGATCGTCCTCACGAGAAGTTGTGGTAATGTATTTTAAAGGTACTCCAAACAGGAGGACAGGAGAGTATGAGCAAGGTTGGTAGTCATGACAACACAGTATGAAGGACACAGTTCTCTTCAGTTAGTGACATCTTTTTTTCATTACAGTCCCCCCATTGTATTCACATGAGAAATGGCACAAAGTTTGGTGATTCCTCACTGACAGATACAATGATGAAGGATGGCCTGATGGATGCCTTCAACAACTACCACATGGGTATTACAGGTACACCTCAGATGTTCTTCTCATTCACGGTACCCATTACCGGTAACTATACCTCACATGTCATACCTCTCAACACTTCAGATATTTGATCACTGGAAGGCAGAGTAAACAGGAGCTAGTAGAACAAGGACAAATTCTGATTATATAACTACTCTCCACTTACTGTTTTTTTAATGTTTAAGGATATCAGTGGTAAGACATGACAGAGTAAACACATTTGATGATGCTTGACAAATGTAGTCATCTCCAAAGTCTGTGCAGATATGGAGGACAAGTTAAAGGTTGTACACTATGGCAGCAGACACGGAGGACGAAGGATAGGCTGTACAGTCATATCAGTGTACACTAGACTACAAGTAAATAAGACTGAGATTTTCATATAGAATGCATGACCATGCATGCTCTTAAGCTGAGGGCTAAATAATTAATAGATTGTCACCCTCAGGATTGCTAAAAATTCCCCACCCAGTACCCATTTGTTTTCAGACACCTTACATGCAAAATTGATACCAAGTTAATTAAATATTATTTTGGATCAATATTTTTCAGAACAACTTAAGTTTAGTTGGGAGGTTTTGTGTGTGCATATTTTGCTTACTAGATGAGTTCAGTTATCACTGAAGCATGTGCCATCCATTGCATCAAGACATTGCATGACACCATGGCATTTTTCAAATGATAAAATGTCCAGGCATCAATTAGTCAGTATAACCCGGAAATGTGAAAAAAGCGTCAGGTTTATCTCCTGGATACGATATGAGGAGAGTGTGTTGGTTTCAGCGGAGAATGTAGCAAAGCAGTGGGCGATATCGCGTGAGGTGCAGGACAGCTTTGCCCTGGAGTCCCAGATCAAGTGTGAAGCAGCCCAGAGGGCAGGACACTTTGACGCAGAGATTGTCACAGTTCCTGTGAAAACAAGAAAAGGTAAATACCAAATGCGACAGACCAATACCAATAGACTGTCTCACAAGAATGCGAATGAGCCCACTTTTATTGTCAAATGTCTGCTTGCTCAAAACACTAATGTCTAACATTCTCAATAAGTTTAAACAGTGGTTCCTGATCTCGGGTTGTTCTGTAAACAAATATTGCTACAAATCATTTGGCACTATATGATCCTTGGTGTAGTCCATTCATATGCTTTAGAAGTGAAACTTTAAGAATGACATGATATGATGAAGAGATCATTACCCTTCTGTGTTTTCCTATTGTACATACAGTGTTCCCTAGCTGTTGCGCGGTTATAGCGAGGTAAAACATGCCTCCCAAAATTTACTAATGTAAACAGTTTTCCAATGACACGATGTTGTCCCCCATCTCAGAAAACATTATCAGCTGATCGCCGCGATCACGTAACACCAGAAATACCAGTCAACAAATCCGAACAGAAGTACACAATTTAATCCTATTATTATAATATCTGGTTATAAACAAATCATTCATTATTTATCTGGACTAATGTTCGCAATATATTTTATTAAATATATTCAAAATTTCATTCAGTAATTATAATAATGCTTACAATAATTTTGGCGAAATCGTATGCGAAGTGATCGGTAGATCGCACAACTCACCGTTATTTACAGCAACCACAGTCAGATTACCGCTATTGACGCCTTGAAATGAACTTTAGTTGCAAGAGAATGGATACACATATCATATTTAATACTTTTATTGACCAAGTTTGTTATACCTGTTTATTCACCTGAATTCGCTGAAGGGATACGATGTGTGCCCAGAAATGGGCAAGTCTAGTTTAGCTCCATCTGTTTGCAGGTGTGGAGGAGGTGAGGACAGATGAGTTCCCTCGTGCCGGCTGTACACTTGAAGGCTTTAACAAACTCCGACCGTGTTTTGTGAAGGATGATACAGGCACTGTAACTGCTGGAAATGCTTCAGGTAGTTTATTAACCTTTTCTAACCTGAAACCATTTGTTGGATGAGGCATGCATGTTCATATCTGCCAACCTGCCATTGCTACATCTTGTTCACACGATTCAGCTGTCATTGTCCCCCGCCGCGCGAAAGCGCGAAGCGGGGGATATAGTATTCACGACCGTCCGTATGTCCGTCCGTACGTCCCACCTGTTTGTTGCCGCGATATCTCAAGAACTAAACACTGGATTGTCTTCATATTTGGAACTATGGTGTATATACAAATTCCGCAGACACCAGTCGGTTTTGGTGACCTTGACCCCATTTTCAAGGTCACAGCAGGCAAATCTGCTTTTGGAGTTGGAAAACGGTGTTGCCGCGATATCTCAAGAACTAATCGCTGGATTGTCTTCATATTTGGAACTATGGTGTATATACAGACTCCGCAGACACCAGTCGGTTTTGGTGACCTTGATCCCATTTTCAAGGTCACAGCAGGCAAATGTGCTTTTGGAGTTGGAAAACGGTGTTGCCGCAATATCTCAAGAACTAAACGCTGGATTGTCTTCATATTTGGAACTATGGTGTATATACAGACTCCGCAGACACCAGTCGGTTTTGGTGACCTTGACCCCATTTTCAAGGTCACAGCAGGCAAATCTGCTTTTGGAGTTGGAAAACGGTGTTGCAGCGATATCTCAAGAACTAAACACTGGATTGTTTTCATATTTGGAACTATGGTGTATATACAGACTCCGCAGACACCAGTCGGTTTTGGTGACCTTGACCCCATTTTCAAGGTCACAGCAGGCAAATCTGTTTTTGGAGTTGGAAAACGGTGTTGCCGCAATATCTCAAGAACTAATCGCTGGATTGTCTTCATATTTGGTACTATGGTGTATATACGGGCGGGGGACATTTCGTCACTTTGTGACAAATACTTGTTATTAATGTAAATTAATTTTGTATATGTTAAATTTTGTATACAGTTACAACACGGGAACAAATTTGTTGGCAATAAGTGAAACAATTTGCACATGTTCCATTAATCATAGTTATACAAGTGTTATCTGTAGGATCATTGATGAAATGTGTGATGTATTACTCCTGGGTTTGAGATTAGCTTATCAGTACATTGCAGGCATCAATGATGGAGCTCAGTGTTGCAGGTATTACTCCTGGCTATGAGACGTGCTTACATTGCAGGCATCAATGATGGAGCTCAGTGCTGCAGGTATTACTCCTGGCTATGAGACCTGCTTACATTGCAGGCATCAATGATGGAGCTCAGTGCTGCAGGTATTACTCCTGGCTATGAGACTAGCTTATCAGTACATTGCAGGCATCAATGATGGAGTTCAGTGCTGCAGGTATTACTCCTGGCTATGAGACTAGCTTATCAGTACATTGCAGGCATCAATGATGGAGCTCAGTGCTGCAGGTATTACTCCTGGCTATGAGACCAGATTATCAGTACATTGCAGGCATCAATGATGGAGCTCAGTGCTGCAGGTATTACTCCTGGCTATGAGACCTGCTTACATTGCAGGCATCAATGATTGAGCTCAGTGCTGCAGGTATTACTCCTGGCTATGAGACCTGCTTACATTGCAGGCATCAATGATGTAGCTCAGTGTTGCAGGTTTTACTCCTGGCTATGAGACCTGCTTACATTGCAGGCATCAATGATGGAGCTCAGTGTTGCAGGTATTACTCCTGGCTATGAGACGTGCTTACATTTCAGGCATCAATGATGGAGCTCAGTGCTGCAGGTATTACTCCTGGCTATGAGACCTGCTTACATTGCAGGCATCAATGATGGAGCTCAGTGCTGCAGGTATTACTCCTGGCTATGAGACCTGCTTACATTGCAGGCATCAATGATGGAGCTCAGTGCTGCAGGTATTACTCCTGGCTATGAGACCTGCTTACATTGCAGGCATCAATGATGGAGCTCAGTGTTGCAGGTATTACTCCTGGCTATGAGACCTGCTTACATAGCAGGCATCAATGATGGAGCTCAGTGCTGCAGGTATTACTCCTGGCTATGAGACCTGCTTACATTGCAGGCATCAATGATGGAGCTCAGTCCTGCAGGTTTTACTCCAGGCTATGAGACCTGCTTACATTGCAGGCATCAATGATGGAGCTCAGTACTGCAGGTATTACCCCTGGCTATGAGACCTGCTTACATTGCAGGCATCAATTATGGAGCTCAGTGTTGCAGGTATTACTCGTGGCTATGAGACCTGCTTACATTGCAGGCATCAATGATGGAGCTCAGTGTTGCAGGTATTACTCCTGGCTATGAGACCAGATTATCAGTACATTGCAGGCATCAATGATGGAGCTCAGTGCTACAGGTATTACTTCTTGCTATGAGACCTGCTTACATTGCAGGCATCAATAATTGAGCTCAGTGTTGCAGGTATTACTCCTGGCTATGAGACCTGTTTACATAGCAGGCATCAATGATGGAGCTCAGTGCTGCAGGTATTACTCCTGGCTATGAGACCTGCTTACATTTCAGGCATCAATGATGGAGCTCAGTGTTGCAGGTATTACTCCTGGCTATGAGACCAGATTATCAGTACATTGCAGGCATCAATGATGGAGCTCAGTGCTGCAGGTATTACTCCTGGCTATGAGACCTGCTTACATAGCAGGCATCAATGATGGAGCTCAGTGCTGCAGGTATTACTCCTGGCTATGAGACCTGCTTACATTGCAGGCATCAATGATGGAGCTCAGTGCTGCAGGTATTAGTCCTGGCTATGAGACCTGCTTACATTGCAGGCATCAATGATGGAGCTCAGTGCTGCAGGTATTACTCCTGGCTATGAGACCTGCTTACATTTCAGGCATCAATGATGGAGCTCAGTGCTGCAGGTATTACTCCTGGCTATGAGACCTGCTTACATTGCAGGCATCAATGATGGAGCTCAGTGTTGCAGGTATTACTCCTGGCTATGAGACGTGCTTACATTTCAGGCATCAATGATGGAGCTCAGTGCTGCAGGTATTACTCCTGGCTATGAGACGTGCTTACATTTCAGGCATCAATGATGGAGCTCAGTGCTGCAGGTATTACTCCTGGCTATGAGACCTGCTTACATTTCAGGCATCAATGATGGAGCTCAGTGCTGCAGGTATTACTCCTGGCTATGAGACTAGCTTATCAGTACATTGCAGGCATCAATGATGGAGCTCAGTGCTACAGGTATTACCCCTGGCTATGAGAACTGTTTACATTGCAGGCATCAATGATGGAGCTGCAGCACTTGTCCTTATGAGTGCTGCGGAGGCCCAGGCTAGACATGCACCTGTGCTGGCAAAGATCGTGTCTTGGGCACAAGCTGGTGTGGACCCTGCTGTCATGGGGACAGGACCAATTCCAGCTACACGGAAAGCAGTAAGTGCATCTGATGTTTAAGTGAACTCTTACCTTAAGATATATGGAACAATTATGCTAAATCCTGATGTCTTGATAAGCAAACCCTGAAATTAGTCTTCTTAAACATATAATAATAACAGATCTTAGACTTCATAACTGACATACCTTATATACACCCCTAGGGAATGTTGACATATGTTAGGAGGACATTGAAAGACAAGGTTACTTAGTGTCAACTGGGCATCACTGAAGCTTGTGTACAGATGACTTGACTACATGTGAATGGAACCTGGTGAAACTTAGGATACATGATCAGAAAGTATTAACAGTATGATATTGAGACTTCATATTTGTAACATTACCTAAGTTTGTAACAAGTCTACATGTGACAGGGTGACATTGAAGGTCAAGGACAGTTTGTGTGATGTGGGCATTAAAATATCGCTAAGGCAGGGTTGCGATCGTATCAACTTTAAGGTGACCTCCGTAATAGGCCAAGGTCACTAGAGGTCATTTTGAAACATGGTTCAACGGTCTCTAAAATTCAATGAGGTGAATGGGTTTTAACGTCACGTTCAAGATTATTGAAGTTATTTTGCAGCGTGTGAGTGTCAAATCCCTTATCGTCGACTCTGAAGGAACTAACTCAACATCTATCATGTCATGATTGTGTTAAATATCAAAGTCACTTTAAAGGTCACTCATTCATGAAATGACTTGTAAATAGTTGCATTCAGTACGTATTGTTAACATGGTATGGCAGACTTCATATTTATAACTCTAGCTATATTTGCAACAAGTAATCAGGGCATCAGGCTACTTACAGAGCCTCACATCTAAGTTTCTGTGTGCTATTACAGTTGGAGAAGGCTGGGTGGAGCATCAACGATGTAGACTTGATAGAGCTGAATGAAGCATTTGCTGCCCAGTCTGCAGCAGTCATCAAAGATCTGGGCTGTGATCCATCAAAGGTGAGATCAGCACAGGAACATGGTATTATGACAAATGTAACTTTTGTCTTCATACCTGTTGCCGTCGTGGCTGAATGTCCAGGTTAGTTGATTTGATGGCCCGTGGTTTGTCGTGTGGTGTGGCTTTGCATTGTTTGTCGACATCTTCTCCCCTGCAGCTAATGAAACTGAACTAATGATGATACCATCCGTCCTTCAAATGGTAAGATCCATTTGTTTCGTTTTGTTATCATACTCCATATACCAAGGTATTCTGTCTGTCCATCCTTCAGAGGACATTTCTTAGTGTGACCTATAACTTGAAAACTACTACATAGATTCTTTTCAAATTTGGTGAACACTTTTTATACATATAGGAGAGGAGCAGTGCGAAGTTTGATTTCTATATTTGGATTTTCTGAAAAAATACAGCTTTTCTTTTCATTTTTGGACTGAAGATGTTTTTACATTTATATGACATACAACTTAAAAACTACAGCATGGATTCTTTTCAAATTTAGGGAACAGATTCCATACGGATAGTAGAGGTGCAGTGCAAAGTTTGATTTTGATATGTGGATTTTCTGAAAAAATATTATGGTTTTTTTATGTTGTGAACTCAGAGACTGCTAAACCAATGAAGCCTTATAGAAAACCTATTTTAATTTCTATAGCTATACTATGACCTTAATCCTTCACATCCAACCGCCTCCATGGCCTAGTGGACAGAGCGTCTGCCCAGGGAGCGTAAGGTCGAAGGTTCAATGCCCAGCTGTGTCATACCATAAGTTGCTAAAAAATGGGAATGGAGCACAGCACTGAGGGGATAACTTATGTCAGTATGCTGTGTCTGTGTTAGACTGCGACATGGTATCTCAATGGGACTGGAGCACAGCACTGAGGGGATAACTTATTTCAGTATGCTGTGTCTGTGTTAGACTGCGACATGGTATCTCAATGGGACTGGAGCACAGCACTGAGGGGATAATTTATGTCAGTATGCTGTGTCTGTGTTAGACTCCGACATGGTATCTCAATGGGACTGGAGCACAGCACTGAGGGGATAACTTATTTCAGTATGCTGTGTCTGTGTTAGACTCCGACATGGTATCTCAATGGGACTGGAGCACAGCACTGAGGGGATAACTTATTTCAGTATGCTGTGTCTGTGTTAGACTGCGACATGGTATCTCAATGGGACTGGAGCACAGCTCTGAGGGGATAACTTATGTCAGTATGCTGTGTCTGTGTTAGACTGCGACATGGTATCTCAATGGGACTGGAGCACAGCTCTGAGGGGATAACTTATGTCAGTATGCTGTGTCTGTGTAAGACTGCGACATGGTATCTCAATGGGACTGGAGCACAGCACTGAGGGGATAACTTATGTCAGTATGCTGTGTCTGTGTTAGACTGCGACATGGTATCTCAATGGGACTGGAGCACAGCACTGAGGGGATAACTTATGTCAGTATGCTGTGTCTGTGTTAGACTCCGACATGGTATCTCAATGGGACTGGAGCACAGCTCTGAGGGGATAACTTATGTCAGTATGCTGTGTCTGTGTTAGACTGCGACATGGTATCTCAATGGGACTGGAGCACAGCACTGAGGGGATAACTTATGTCAGTATGCTGTGTCTGTGTTAGACTGCGACATGGTATCTCAATGGGACTGGAGCACAGCTCTGAGGGGATAACTTATTTCAGTATGCTGTGTCTGTGTTAGACTGCGACATGGTATCTCAATGGGCAAGCACTATTTAACTGACATAGATTTGTACTAGTATAAGCAACCACACACACAGGTGCATACATGTGGCTATATTAGCAAAATAATCTTGAATACGACATTAAACCCCATTTCACCTCACCTAAAAATAGAACCCATAGTAGATAGTACCCATAAATCTGATGACAGAACCACTAGATTTGAGGCTGAATGTTTAATTTAACAAATGTTATATTTGAGATAATACGTTCTTTGTAAAGTACTTGTACTATTTTTTAATCCTGCATTACTCCCTATTGCATTTACTGCTGTCTTTGACAGAGAGACGAACTGTGTGAGATCCAGCTGCTGAAGAAAGTTGTTTCCATTGTACAGGAAGCAGTGCCCCCTCCCACACAGTCGGCACATGACCGGGAACTCATGACGTCACGTCAAAACACATAACTGCTTTGTCAGCCACACGGAACGGACGTATCTGTATCCCTCGTGGAAATATTAAAAGCTTTATATGACCCTTACTTTGTGTTGTTTACAACGACAAAAGTCTGCTGTGTTGTTTATTATCCCCCGCCCAACAAAGTTGGCGGGGGATATAGAAACGGGCTCCGTCCGTCCGTCACGTTTTGTTTCCGGAGCATAACTCAGAAACCGTTCCATATGTTTTCATGAAACTTTGCAGGTCTGTCAAGTACATGCTGAACTGGTGCATTTTCCTATTTAGAAATGTTAGAAACTTTTATTTTTTCGTTTCCATGGCAACAAGATGGACTTAGGTTCTGTGAGGGTAGGGTTCGTTTCCGGAGCATACCTCATAAACCGATCAATATTTTTTCATGAAACTTTGCAGGTTTGTCAGGTACATGCTGCACTGGTGCCTTTTGCTATTTAGAAATTTTAGAAATTTGAATTTTTTACTTTTCCATGGCAACAAGATGGACTTAGGTTCCAAACTCTTCTTTTTTTTTACAATTTCCATGACAAGTTCCACCTCGGTTAAAAAAGGTTAGGGTTTGTTTTGATTTAATTATGTCATAAATTCTGCAACAGGGGTGGGGGATATAGCCAGGTTAGTGGCAAACTCTTGTTGTATATGGTTTGTTACCTTTGGCTTCATTCTATTGTTAATTGGCAACATTTCTCGCTCGTTTTGTGGCTCTCATCACGGTATTTACGAGCGTATTGTTGTTTCCCACCATTTTCTCCCTGCCCTTTTGCGATTCACCACGTGTCCATGTATTTTCATGTTTTGCGTTTTGAATTCGCTCTTTTACATTAAATTAAAATGTTTGTATTTGGCGTGTTTTAAGCGTAATTGTTTGCTCTTATAAACTTTGTAAACAGAAAAAGTTATCTTGAGTTACATTATGCTTCATTGTGTGTTTGCACATCGTTATGCTTTTGCTTAAATTCCAGTATGCCTCGCTTCTCCAACTGCCGCAGGAATAAATCTGGACGGGCCCCCCCACCCCGGCTGCCTGGACTGTACAACCCCGTGTACCCTTACAGAGAAGTGCAGATACTGTAGTCCCCTGTCGCCAGTTTCCTTCAGCGCCTACCTACGAGTGTCTCAAAAACGCTTCATTCAACGTGTGCGTCGACACCCCAACATGCCTTACAACGTAGAGTCTGCCTCCCATGGCACGACAAACAACCGTTCACGGTCTCCTACACCACCATTACCGTCGCCTGCTTCGATCTCATCGTCTTCGGCATCGCCCTTAACGGGTTTACTGTCACCTCTGCCATCTACGTCGACAACCTTCAGCCATCTACGTTGACAACCTTGACTACTCCGGCGCCTTTGACTTGTGTGGCGCCTCCAGGGCCTTGGACTTGTGCGGCGCCTCCAAAGTATGTACAAGCCCTCCTGTAATCGTTTATGGATCCATCTTGGATGCAGTCATTGTTTGCGCAAGCTACTCCCGCCTCGACGGTGCCTCCTGCGACGATGGCGCCACTGATGGCCCCGACTACAGACACTCCGATTCCTGCGTCCCCATCTACTTCGGGTGCTCATCGGTCTCGATCGTCGTATACCTCGTCGCCTCCGACTGCCTCTCGACACTCGTCCAAGTCCTCTCGATCTCGTCGTCGTTCTCGTAGTCATTCACCCATACATAGACGTCGACATCATTCATCTCGTTCAGCCTCATTGGAAGGATCATTTCGACCTGATTATGACCCTCAATCACCCGTGATTGATACCTGCTTGGGCCCATCACAGGTTGCTGATTGGCTAGCGGAACCGTTTGACCTCCGCCGCTCCCTCCCGAGGCCCCGATGTCGACGAAAATCTACGATTTTGTCTAACCTGACTTCGCTACCACCCGACCCAATGCTGACAGACCTTGTTACAGCGCTGGACGAGGACTTCCCTAGGTTGTCCCTCACGCCGCCGTTCATGGCTCCTCGTTTCCGGCATGATGATTTCCCTGTCCACTCCTTTGATGTGGCTGACGGTGCGCACATCCTGGACGAGGACTTACATCGAATGACCGGGTCATCCCAGTCCGCCACCATACGTATGCCAGACTTCCGACTCGCTTTCGTTGAAACGGAACTGAGGCGTTCGTTAAAACCACTGTCTGCACTCGCCTCCTCTGCCAGAGCAATTGAGCAAGATCTCTTGGGAGTCCAATCCTAACAGGATCGACCACCTACGCACTGTTATGAACTTCGCCAGGTCAACCATTTGCAAAATCATCTGAGAGCTGCTATTGCGGAGATCACCGCTACACGACGGTTGGGTTCCTTACTATGACAACCTTGGTTGGGTCCTACTCTTTTTAATGGTGCCATTTCCGCTACACATGGCAGGGTCATCAGCTTCGCGAGGGATGAAACGGCTCTTAGAGCCTTGGAGCATGTCAAGCACCAATCAGCGGCCAAGTCCTTCAAAGGGAACTACAAACCTCGCCGCTCCTCTCTCAAGGACGTCTCCAAACATCTCAGGATCTCAACGACTGGGTGGTGGCACGGGTGGCCAAGTCGTCTGAGGCGCGGCAATTCGCTGTGCAGAGTTGCGTCCCTTGGGTACGCCAGAAATCTATGATTGTTGGTTCAATTCTCGGTTCGCCCCAATTATGTTTCTAGGTTTGTCAGCACCATACCCGTGCTCGTGGGTTTCACCGAAGTGGTAAATGTCTGAGACCTGCATCACTTCGGGCTTTCCTCCCACATTAAACTGACACACCGTGATATAACTGGAATACTGTTAAAAGCGGCGTTAAACACAACTCACTCACTCACTCACTCAACGACTGGGACCTCCCACCCTCAGCCGTTCCGGGCACTGACACACCTGTGGGTGGGAGACTAGGCCGGTTTTGGAGAAACTGGTCTATACTGGAGGACCCGTTAGTCACAAACATACTCCGTCAGGGGTACCAGCTCCCATTGGCAGTACTTCCTCCTCTGACCCCATCGTTCCGTCTGCAGTTCATCAGGGGCCTGTTTCTCAAGGATCAAGACCTCCTTCAAGTCCCCAGGAACAGGTAGTTGAAAATCCTCGCTCACCTCTACCCTGCCCTCCAGCAGGCTCGAACTCTCCGCCATTGGCAGGTTCTCTTGGGCACATCGGCTCAAGACCTGACTGCCAGAGGTCGCCTCCAACTCCGTCCAATTCAACGGTTTCTCGCTCCCTTCACTCAGCAGCAGGATCCGGTGTCCCTCATCGTCCTCCCGGTTCCCTTCCACCCCTTCCCCCAATGGTGGACAGTGGAATCGAACGTCTGCGGCGGCGTCTTCTTGACCGCGCTACAGCCCACCCTCAACCTGTTCGTCGACGCATCTAAACAGGGTTGGATGCTCATCTGGGGACTCAAACAGCAACAACCTCGAACTCGAAGCTCTCATCCTGGCGGTCTCCCACTGGCAGAGCATTCTCCGTCACGCCAAGTTGACCATCTCCACGGACAACATCACCATGGTGTGGTGTCTGAGGAATCAGGGTATTCTCCACTCTCAGTCCCTGCTCAACCAGACCTTCCGATTCTTCGACCTAGTGGACTGATTAGACCTGCAATTCCTTGTTCAGCACATTCCAGGTTGCAAGAATGTTCTGGCAGACGCTCTGTCCAGGCAGGACAAGGTGGCTCCCACCGAATGGCAAGTCCACCCAGAGATCTTCACCGTTCTTTGTCTAATGATCGACACCCAAAACATAGATCTGTTCGCCAAATCTCAGAATTGCCAGCTGTCAACTAATATCTCGCCAGTTTCGCCGGTTTCATCTGCACGCCTGGCACATCTGCAGAAAGCCCTAGGAGCCAAGGGCCATTCGACTAGAGCGGCCAAGGCTATTGCTATAGCCTATCGTCCATCATCATATATGATGATAAATGGTCCTCGTTCCAGGCATTCTGCTCTGACAAGCACCAGGATCCGATGACAGCGTCACCGCAGTTCCTGGCTGAGTTTCTTCTGTACTTGAGCACCACAAGTTGATTAAAAGGCTCTACCATCTCCACGTACTTGGTCGCAATCAACTCCATTCTTGCCATCCCGGACGACTAGAGAATGATGAAAATTCCCGAACTTCAGGCCTTGCTGCGCTCAATCCGTCTTGAAGACCAGAAAGCCAAGTTCAGACCGCCTGCGTGGGATCTGAATGTGGGCTTAAAGGTTCTTAGGGAGGCACCCTTCGAACCACTCAACTCGTCTTCCTTTTACAACTTAATGTGGAGGAGCTTTTATTATGCCCTGTTAGGGCCCTGAAGGTTTTCCTACGACGGTCTAAAGCCTGCCGCAAGTCTAGGAAACGTCTTTTCCTGTCGGTCTCCCCTTCGTCGCAGTCGGAGGTCAGCCGGAATACTATCTCCCTGTGGCTCCGGGCGGTCATCCTCCAAGCTTATAAAGTGGCCGGATTGGACCCCCCGAAGGCTAACAACCCACACGAGATTCGGGCGGTCACATCTACCATGGCTCTTCACAGTAACTGTTCCCTCAAATCAATCATTGAAGGCTGTTTGGGGCAATCTGACACCGTTTTCGCCAGCCACTACCTTCGTGATGTAACCTTGGAAGAGCTTTAGTCCCCTGCTGGTAGCTCAACAGGTCACCAACCCCTGACGCCACTGATTCTCCCTTAGCCTGAGTGGGGCCCGTTGACCTCTCTGGTGTTCATCACCCCAGATTAGAGGGCTCTACTGCGTTCCACATTTGCTCTTAGGTCAGTTCTAGTTTGGGCTTTCCCGCCTCATACTAATTCTGTCACCTATTTCGGGTTCCCTCTTTTGCATCGACTCTCCTTTCCTTCGACAGGAATGGTCGCTGGTGTTCCGGTCCTCTCTTGTACATGCGGTGCGGTTTCATCGGACCTTGTCGAGGGTTTCTTATGGCTCACATCTGAAGGTATGCCCACCGGCCATGCCGTCTGATAAAGATGCAATACGGAGTAATGCAGGATAAGTTAAAAAAAATTGTAAAATCTAAATATTTTTTACATTTGTATACTTATACTGCATTACGAAGTCTAAGTGCCCCCCCTTCACTCCGCTGCCTCCCCACAAAGTTTCCGATGTTATGTTTAAAGCAGTTATGTGTTTTGACGTGACGTCATGACTTCCGGGTCATGTGCCGACTGTGTGGAAGGGGGCGCTGCTTCCTGTACAATGGAAACAACTTTCTTCAGCAGCTGGATCTCACACAGTTCGTCTCTCTGTCAAAGACAGCAGTAAATGCAATAGGGAGTAATGCAGGATGAGTATACAAATGTAAAAAATATTTAGATTTTACTAATTTTTAGGTTGAGTCCCATCCGGGACCTTGTGTGCTGGCAAATAGGTGCCTCACTCTTGCAGTATGGGTTCGAACCACTTCATGGCTGAAAGTTTGTTTATAACATCTTTGCAATAAAATCTCAAAAAAATGTTCGAGGAACTCCAGTATGATTTTTAACATTACTGCATGTATCATTGTGAAATTTCCTATCTAGTAAATGTGTGGTATGTATATTGACATATGTGTTAGGATGTTTATCTCATTTCCGAACTGTGTGAATGATATCTATAGGTAATATTCTCTCAGTAACTGTGTTTGGTAAATATGGAATGCAGAGTAATAATATTAACAAATATCCACACAACTAAACTTGAGAATGTGCTCCAGTATTATATTTTGGGGAAATCTCTATATGGCTTTTCATTTCACATATTGATATACAGTACACAACCTCAAACAGAAGTTTCAAAGTATGTGTTTGTTGTTATTTTAACCATAAGTCACGAGTGACAGTTCTGGTGATAATTGTGAAGAATTAGTTCTGCAAGTTCACTGCATTCAGACCTGTGTATGTCACTATTTTCATGAACTTTTGTTTCCTGGATTCTAAAAGAATTGTAGCCAGTTCTACAAGTATTCAGTTTTCCACACATTTATCAAATATAACTCCTGCTGTGCGCCTGTGGTGAGAAATGTTACCTGCACTGGGTGCAACCTGGCAATAAAAGTTACCTGCTACATATCTCTCAATATTTAGGGCTGAAACCACTCACATGCAAATAGGAAAACTTTGTAAATATTCTTTCAAATTTACTTACCAGCATTCTCTGGTAGCATGCTGCACCTGTACAAAATTCAGGTTGGTCTCATATACTCACTACCAAAAGAAATGTGAATACCATGCATGTTGGTGAATATGTGAAGAATGACTCATATTCAACAGATATTTGATTGGTTAGATGCACAAATGAACATACTGGTATGTTGTATGAACCGACGCTCATGAACACATCACATGTGATGTCATAGCTCAATGACCCGAGATGCACCATTTGTGTCGTGCATGATATAGACGTAAAATTTGGAAATCACGTGCAGCATATCGTGTTAGGAAAAAAGACACTCTGTGGTAACACTTGACCAATTGTTAGTTTTGTCGATAATTGATATGCATTCTGAACTTACATACTTCTCCATGTTTCTGTGGTTTGCGTTACTTTTGGTGGTGAGTTTTGTTTGTTTGTTTATTGTTTAATGCCGCACTCAGCAATATTCCAGCTATATGACGGTGGTCTGTAAATAATCGAGTCTGGGCCAGACAATCCAGTGATTGACATCATGAGCATCGATCTACACAAATGGGATACGATGACATGCATCAACCAAGTCAGTGAGTCTGACCACCAGATCCCATTAGTCGCCTCTTACGGCAAGCATGGGTTGCTGAAGACCTATTCTATCTCGGGTCTGGTGGTGAGTATATATCAAACTTGATTATCTTCACTTTTTCAGTAATAATTGAGACTGTTACTGGATAATACAGCCAGTCCAATTGAAGTGATGATGTCAGACTGATAGATTCATGGGGGATTCCAGGCACAATATGTCCTATGTATCCAGTGCTTGTAGTAGGAACCAGCTAACCAGGATCACGTGGTTACAGTGAATCGTTGCTCATGCTGGTTTTCCTGTTACAGATTCAGTTACTGGCAGTCCACTGTAATATAGATGGAACATTGCTGACTGTGGTTAAATAGCATTCACTCAGGTACAGGATAGATTGCCAAAATACAGTTGTTGAAAGTGTTGAAGCAAGTACTGTATTGCCTAGCATCCATAGTTTTGGAGAAGTCGTAGAACCAGAACTGGAACTGAATGTTCATGCAAACTAATGTAAATGGTGCATTGTCCATCTTAGTTCGATATGTTTCACATCTCAAATGGAGCTTCCCAGAAGTGGTGTCTTTTAAAAGTGGTCATTTAGTTCCATTCCATAAGGAAAAATGGTCACCATGGCAACAATGGTGTTTTGAAAATAGTTTATTGACAACAAATGTTTGTTTCAGGTAAATGTGAGTGGTGGAGCCATTGCTCTAGGACATCCCATTGGAGCATCTGGAGCTCGTATTCTGGTAACACTTCTCCATGGCCTGGAACGCACAGCAGGGCGGCGCGGTGTGGCAGCACTCTGTGTAGGAGGGGGAATGGGCATCGCTTTGTGTGTGGAGAGATCATGAGATCGAGATAGCCTTTCTGCTTATGCATCATATTCTTGCTTTCACAAACTGAGTGTATATATCAAGTGAATAAACGGTTTATGGGAGGAGAATCATGTTTATTTTGTGGAACGAGAAACACGTTTTCATAATGGGACGCGGAATACGTTTACATTATGGGACGTGGAACACACACATACACACAGACAAATGTCCCATTTCACCTCACCATTACCATGATTACATATGCAAAACCAGATTTGTTATGACCCCTCATGTTGCATTGATCTGATGGTGAAGTACTTTGATGTTTCATAGGGAAATCTGCAGTCTCAAATTATATTTTTTGACATTTCAGAAGTAAAAGTTCAGGTAGCATTGTTTTGCATTGGATACACACCAATCTACCAGTCTTATACACTATGGCAGCCTTGTTATGACAATTGTATGGAAATTGGTAGACTTGTCAAAGTTTTGTTACAGCTGCCAAATATAGAAAAGTTAGTTTATGACAGAAATATGAAGAGGTCCATCAACATATTTTCTTATTAAATTTGTAATGTGCACCTAGTAAACCCTTGACATCTCTCCGAGTTTGCTGGTCACTCCCTTGTTTGTGAAGATCAATGCTTTTTGCTGATGTAACCAGTCACCAGATAGTCCAATTGTCTGTTGTTATCAATATGCTGTTATTATAGTTGTGACTTAGGAATACAGTGTCTGTGAGAACCGTGTGTTGGCAATGAAGATTGTTAACAGTATATTTCTGAAAGTGGTTTCAGATACTTTAGGTAGATGCCTTGGCGTTGATAAAGATGTTAGATAATCTCTGTCCTCAACGATGAAGAGTCGAAACGTCAAAGATTTACGGAATAGATCACTGAATGTTATAGAACCCAAACTATTAATGTACATGTATATAGCAATATCTATGTGCAACTGGTGCAATAGATTTGCAATGTCTTCTTCAGAGGAGTAGACGTTAAATGTTTCCACTGCTTTGACTGTTGTTTTGTCTTTGGCTGATACTGGTGACCCCAAGGTGCAACTATAGTTACCAATCTCTCATTAAAGTCAGCCGGGTCTGAAATGTGCCTGTAGCTTTGCTGATGTCAGAAGCCTTGGAACCCAGCATGCTGAAACCTTTGTCAGGCCCAGTTCATTCCTCAAAATGTTCTCAACTCTCTCATGATAGATGTCCACTGTATTGGCTATGTGACGCGTGGTGAGTCATGGATCATCAAGAAATATATCATATATTTTATCAACATTCTCCTTAGTGATGGCAGTAATAGGTCTTGCCGAGTTTGACCTGGATTCAATTCCCCACATGAGTACACTGTGTGATGCCCATTTCTGGTGTCCCCTGCCATGATATTGCTAAAAGCGGCATAAAACCATACTCACTCACTCACTCACTCTGAGTTTTCACAACACCTATCATAATAGATATATAGTTTTTAAATCGGGTTGCAGTTCAATTTATAGAACCACATTTGTGGAAAGTGTTTTAATATCTGTATCATGGGTAATGGTATCCTATCTTCACAAGAATCGGAGGATGGATGAGCTCGGACTGCTCCCAGTACACAGCACATTGCTTGAAGGGGCAGGGCGACTCCCTCCAGGCGTAGCGGATTGCCTGCAGTTTGGGGCACTGCTCTGTCCATGTCACTGTCACACTGGTGGTGGTGTTACTCTTTATAGGAGTGGCAATCCATGTATGGCCCGGAACGAGGCATGTGTTGTGCGATGTGGTCATATTAGTACAACAAATCTGAAAAAGATTTTTGTCCAACTTCTTAACAGATACCTTTAGGTTATAAACCCTGACCTAATGCGTGTTGGCGCCCCTTCCTGAAGCATCCACACATTCGGAAAAGGTTACAAATGATCGGGCACAAAACTATAAGTTAACATGTAAGTGACGTGTCTTGTCACACACACCCGTCCAGTTACACCTACCCGTCCAGTCTCACATACCCGTCCAGTCACAGTCACACACACCAGGCTAGTCACACACCGTCCAGTCACACATACCTATCCAGTCACACACAACCGTCAAGTCACACACAGCCGTCAAGTCACACGCCTGTCAGCCATGCACACCGGTCCAGTCATGCATACCCTTCCAGTCACGCCACAACCGTCCAGTCACACATACCGTCCAATCACACACACAACCGTCCAGTCACACAAAAAAACATCCAGTCACACACAACCATCCAGTCAGTCACACACACCCGGCTAGTCACACATACCTATCCAGTCACACATACCTATCCAGTCACACATACCCGTCCAGTCACACATACTGTCCAGTCACACACAACTGTCCAGTCACACACACAACCGTCTAGTCACACACACATACCGTCCAGTCACACACACAACCATCCAGTCACAACCACCCGTCCAGTCACACATACCGTCCAGTCACACATACCGTCCAGTCACACACACGCAACCGTCCAGTCACACACACACAACTGTCCAGTCACACATACCGTCCAGTCACACATTCCCGTCCAGTCACACACACCCGTCCAGTCAGTCACACACACCCGGCTAGTCACACATACCTATCCAGTCACACATACCTATCCAGTCACACATACCCGTCCAGTCACACATACTGTCCAGTCACACACAACTGTCCAGTCACACACACAACCGTCTAGTCACACACACATACCGTCCAGTCACACACACAACCATCCAGTCACAACCACCCGTCCAGTCACACATACCGTCCAGTCACACATACCGTCCAGTCACACACACACACCCGTCCAATCACACACACCGTCCAGTCACACACACAACCGTCCAGTCACACACACAACCGTCCAGTCACAGTCACACACACACCCGGCTAGTCACACACTGTCTAGTCACACACACCTATCCAGTCACACACACAACCGTCCAGTCACACACACCCGTCCAGTCACACACACACACAACCGTCCAGTCACACACCCAACCACCGCCTCCGTGGTCTAGTGGGAGAGCGGAAGGTCACGGGTTCGATCCCGGCCACGTCATACCAAAAGACGTTAAAAGATGGTACTTGTTGGTACCCTGTCTGGCGCTCGGCATTAAGGGGCTAAAACAAGGACGGGTCGGCTCGGAGTCAGTATACTGTGTCTGAGTGGGGTATTCGTGTTAAAACTGCGGCATGGTATCTCAGTGAGCTAGCACTATAAATCGGCATCAGTCCGTAGACTAGTACAAGCAGCCACACACACACACGTGCATGCACGTCGCTATATAAGTGCAATAATCTTGGACGCGACATTAAACCCAATTTCACCTCATACACCCAACCGTCCAGTTACACATACTGTCCAATCACACACACAACCGTCCAGTCACAGACACATACCGTCCAGTCACACACACATACCGTCCAGTCACACACACATACCGTCCAGTCACACACACCATGTTTACCTCGAAGCCATGTGAAGAACAGACATCAATGGTGAGTCCGGAAAAGACATAATCTACGTTGATGAACTTCATCTGTGTGTTGAATGAGAACATATCGGGTAGCGGGCCTTGGTACTGTATGCTGGACTTGTTGTAGGCCACGGATAAGCCTGATCGTACAAGGCGCTCACACACGTCCTGCTTATCTCGGGGGTGAACACTGGCAACACATCGGTCATCTCCAATTGTAGAAATAGGATTGTCTATAATAATTTGTAAGAAACTGCTATAATTCTGAACTACTTGCATACAAATTCAAACAGGTCACCTTCCATATGGCGATGAGAAGTCGGGCAGGTCCATGGCAACAGCCATGAAGACGTTGTCCATCCTGTCGTTTGGGACGTAGCCGAATCCGGCTGTCTGCGACCAGCGGATTCCAGGAAAACCAGTCTGGATTGAGGAGTCATTCCTGTTTCCTGCAAGCTGTACAGAATAATTATCACCACAATTACATCATTATGTCTAGCGTGCATGACTACAATTACGAGAAAAGAAAATATAGTTCTTTATTATCCAGATTAAATTTATGTTCACATCCTCAACAGCAAACCGCTTGATAAAGAAGCTAAATAATATTCCATGAACGTGTTGCTGTGCTGTAACTGAGTTACCTTTTGAATATTGACGATACGTAATTATCTCAAAGTGGACTAGTCTTACAACATACATTATATACACCGGGTCAAAGGCGTTGTCCTGGAGATGGTCATTCGCAGCTCGGTGGGGTCGCGCATTGTCGTCATTGAAGACAGGACATGTGGCGAGTTCATGGTTATGAAGATGAGGCACAACAAAACCGTTCAATGTGGTATCATGGTACCTTTGTCAATTTAGTGTCTGCTGAACTGTGACCAAATCAACTTTACGATCAAAGGATCCACATCCCCATACCCTCACTGAGCCACCACCACATGCCACTGTTTCCTGGATGTTGTGCTGATGATAATATGTTCCGTTTTGCCTCCATCGTACCATCAGTGTGGTGCAATAAAAAAAAAGAAGAAAACAATGAATCCTCCCTGACCTCAAGTTCCATTGTGCTCGAGCCTGACACCTGGCTAAACGGTCCCAAATGTGTTGGGGTGAGAGGAGTGGACGTCTTATTGATCTTTTGGCCCTAAATCCTACTGGATTCAGTCGACACATGAAGGTGTTGAGGAAAACTCTGTTGTGGGTATGCCAGTGATGACGAAGATCAGTGCAAGTTGAAGTTGGCAGCTGTTTTGCCTGGCGTACAAGGACCCTGTCCTCTCTGGCACTGGTGTTCCGTGGACGTCCTGAGCTCGGCAAGTTCCTGACATGTCAAGTCAATATGTGTTTTCTAATGAGTCGACTGATTACAGTATGGTTAATGTTCAACACGACAATATCCCGACATGTCATGCCAGTTTGGTGCATGCCAATGATTTGCCATTTTTGATTATCTGGGATAGCACGCTTAGGCATTTCAGTTTAAAATCAATAGCAGTAAAGACGCATGGACATTCTGTCATCTGACATGAATTTCTCTACAGATACCCTTTTGGTGTGCATACGGCTTGCAGAAACGGACCCACAAGGTTGGGCAGTTAGTGGCTACCATTCTATAGGCAGATGATGTGTCAACACA